CCCCCCCCCCCCCCCCCCCCCCCCCCCCACTCAAAAGGCTTTCGGTCGCCCCTCTCTTACTATTTTTCTCTTCCTCCCTCTCTCTCTTGCTCTCTCTTTCACCCCGCCGCTGGAAAGTGCTCCACCTTTGTCAAGTTCTTTTTTTCCCTTTTCCTCCTCCTCTTCACGGACTGGTTTCGTCTCTCTCTTCCCGCCTCCTCTTCTTACCTGTTCCCCCTCTTTTTCTCTTCCCCCATCTCCCCTCCCTCAACACCCACACAACCGTCAAAATGGTGTCTGCTTCCAAAGCTGCTCGTATGGCCAAGCGTGGCGATGACGGCAAGAAGAAGACCCTCAAGTCCAAGAAGGGTACCTCGACCCCCGGTGACGAGACCCCCATGCTCGATGGCGACGGAAACCCTTTGCCCGTCGAGGATCAGCCTGCCACCTCCGCTGAGAAGCTGAAGGAGGTTGAGAAGCTGACCGCACAAATGGACAAGCACGGTCTCTCGGACCGTGTCACCACTGGTGTCCTCTCCTCCCTGGAGTCCTCCCGCGACGTCAAGATCACTTCCGCCTCCCTGGTGTTCCACGGCAAGGTCCTCATCACCGACTCCACCCTTGAACTGAACTTCAGTCGCCGTTACGGTCTCTTGGGTGAGAACGGTTGCGGAAAGTCCACCCTTCTCAAGTCCATCGCCACTCGCGAGTTCCCTATCCCTGAGCACATTGATATCTACCTGCTCAACGAGGGTGCTCCCCCCACCGACCTCGGTGCCCTTGAGTGGGTTGTTACTGAGGCTCAGAACCAGCTTGACCGCATGGAGAAGCAGGCCGAGGAGATCTTGGAGAAGGAGGGCCCTGACAGCCCTATCCTCGAGGACCTTTACGACGTAAGTACTTGTGCATTGTTTGACGAGCAACATGTGTCTAACTTCATCATCAGCGTATGGACAAGATGGATCCCTCGACCTTCCACACCCGTGCCTCCCTGATCCTGACGGGTCTTGGTTTCAACAAGCAGACCATCCACAAGAAGACCAAGGACATGTCCGGTGGTTGGCGTATGCGTGTGGCCCTTGCCAAGGCCCTCTTCGTCAAGCCTTCTCTCCTCCTGCTGGACGACCCCACTGCTCACTTGGATCTCGAGGCCTGTGTGTGGTTGGAAGAATACCTGAAGAAGTGGGAGCGCACCCTGATCCTGGTCTCCCACTCCATGGATTTCTTGAACGGTGTCTGTACCAACATGATCGATATGCGCATGAAGCAGCTCCTTTACTATGGTGGTAACTACGATTCGTACCACAAGACCCGTGCCGAACAGGAGACGAACCAGATGAAGGCCTACCACAAGCAGCAGGAAGAAATTGCCCACATCAAGAAGTTCATCGCCTCCGCCGGTACTTACGCCAACTTGGTCCGTCAGGCCAAGTCCCGTCAGAAGATTCTCGACAAGATGGAGGCCGACGGTTTCATCCAGCCCGTCATTCCTGACCGTGTCTTCAGCTTCCGCTTCGCTGATGTCGAGAAGCTCCCCCCTCCCGTCCTGTCCTTCGATGATGTCTCTTTCTCCTACTCTGGCAACTGGGATGACACTCTGTACGAGCACCTTGACTTCGGTGTCGACATGGACTCCCGTACTGCTCTGGTCGGACCCAACGGTGTCGGCAAGTCCACTCTGCTCCGTCTGATGACCGGCAAGCTCAGCCCCATCGGTGGTAGTGTCAGCCGTCACACCCACTTGAAGCTCGGCATGTACAGCCAGCACTCCGCTGAACAGCTGGACCTGACCAAGTCTTCCTTGGAGTTCGTCCGTGACAAGTTCCCCGAGAAGTCCCAGGACTACCAGTACTGGCGCCAGCAGCTCGGCCGCTACGGTCTGAGCGGCGAGTCCCAGACTGCTCTGATGGGCACTCTGTCTGAGGGTCAGAAGAGCCGTATCGTTTTCGCTCTGTTGGCTATTGAGTCGCCCAACATGATTCTCCTGGACGAGCCTACCAACGGTCTCGATATCCCCACCATCGACAGTTTGGCCGATGCCATCAACGCCTATAGCGGAGGTGTCGTGGTCGTCTCCCACGATTTCCGTCTCCTCGACAAGATCGCCAAGGACATCATGGTCTGCGAGCACAAGACCGTCACTCGCTGGGATGGCACCATCGGACAGTACAAGAACTACCTCCGCAAGAAGATGATCGACCAGGGTGCTGTCTAAAAAGCCCGAAGCATTTTATATGAGGTGCTTCCCTCTGTTACGAATGGAATGCTCAGAAACGAACAAAATATCAAGACAGGAAAGAAAAACAGTCTGCGCGAAGATGCAGACTTGGCAAAACTTTATCGAAAGGAGTAAGAGAAAAGTTTATCAATTTTCTCAGCAGCAGGAGAGATGAACCATCCTGAATGAGAGGTCCTTGTTTTAAGGGGGATACATTTGTGTTTATCCCGTTTTGCTTAAATACCACCTGGAGATATCACCTGCTCAGTATTTGGGTGTTCTTTGTTTTTTTCTTTACGTTGTGTTTCTTAGATGGCCTTGTTTATTTCCATCATCGTCGTTCATACCACTTCAATCTCATCCCCCTAACTTAGACTTGAGCGTTTGAGGGGGTGAAATCTGATGCTTCTCTTTTCTCATTGGATTCGCGTATACGGTATAGACTGTTCATCATCCTTTGGGACACGGGTGTCTGCTTGAGAATGGATTGTTTTATTTGAACTCTGGATTGTAGTTGCACCTGTAGATTTGGTTTACAGGTTCATGTCTTGTAGATGAATGCTGATCTTGGGAGCGTAGTATACTATTTCATCGGACCTGTTCCCGTTGCCTACCTATCCAAACCATTTCATTGTTGTATTGGTTCCATCCACCGTCAATTCTATATTCCGCTCCCGGACCCTAAGTTACCGCTCCTTCGTCCTCTGCATAACCAACTCCCCCCCGAAAATATCCTTACTACCGCTGGAAGATTCCGCGGCAGTCTCCAACTTCCGCTTCTTCGCCAACCTCTCCATCTCACTTTCGGACGCCCCGGAATCGACCCCCCCTGTTGGAGTTGCCGCCGCAGCCGCAGCCGCCGCAGCCGAAGAAGCGAGCGCCGCCGCAGGGATCCTCTTCTGCCCAGCGCCACCTAAATTCACCTTCTCGGGATTCTGGCAGTGATACAGCTTCTTCCCGATGATCCGACGGAGGGTCTTCATCTGTTCCGGATCCGAGGCGAGGGGCTTGTAGGCCTGCAGCATGGCGGCGCAGTCGCTGAGCGTGCGGAGGAGTTTCGGTCGGAGGGCCGCCAGCCCATCCGCCGCCTCTGCTTCTTGGACGGATGATTGGGGGAAGCCGAGTTTCGTGTCGAGGTAGTACTCGGCCAAGGGGCGGTCGGCCAGCATCAGCGCGGCGAGCCAGATCTGCGCCGGCGTGAAGAGGAAATACACGTCGGTGATCTGGGCGGCGGATTTGAGGATCTCGCGGGTGGTGTGGTGGGCGCGGGCGATTCGGTCGGTGATGGTTTTTGAGGAGCTGGGAAGAGCGAGGAGGCCCCTTTGCAGGGATTCCGGGGTTTGCGTGGCAGCAAGGTGCGGCGCGGGCTGGCCCTGCCCCGCGGCCAGGGCCTGGAGCTCCATGATCCCCCCCTCCAGCCCCCGGAACGGGTGCCGCACGTCGAACGTGAAGCGCAGGCTCTGCATCACCACGAACTCCGGCGCGATGATGTCTTCGGCTGTTGTGTCGCCGGGCACTCCGTCCGCGAACTGGCGCAGCGACATGTAGTAGTTGTCTGTCTTGGTGGCCAGGAAGAGCGCGCACGGCATGATTTGTTTCGGGTGGTAGGTCATCGGGCTGTTCGTTAGGTAGAAGCGTCGGAGGTATTGGATTGCTGTTGCCTTTTTATGGGGGGGGGTGGTGTTAGTTTTTGGGGTTTGGGAGGGGGAGATGGGGGTTGGGCTGGCTGGCTGGCTAGCTGGCTTACTCGGACTATCGTCGGTAATGGCGGTTTGTACGCTTCTCCTAGTTGGATGATCTGCTCGCAGTAGTAGCTCACGGTCTGCTGCTCTTCCTCGGGCGTGAGGCATTCGATGGGTTTCTCTTCGGCTTTCGCCGGGTGGTTGGTGCTGGTGCTGGTGCTGGTGCTGCCCTCAACTTCGGGGACCGCGGTGCCCGTCGCGGACGAGGTGGCGGAGCGGCGCGCCTCCTGTGCGCGGCGAATGGCGGCGCGCACCCGGTCGCTGGCCACGGCGTTGGTGGTCGCCCGTTGGGCTTGGAGGGAGGCCGCGGTGAAGGACCAGAGGCGGTATTGCGAGGAGGTGCGGTAGAAGTCGTCTTCGATCATTTTGGGTTGCGTTGATGGCGGCTTGGCAAGCCGTGCCGTGAGGTGGGTGTCTGTTGCGCAGTCGGGTTGTAAAATGGGAGGGTTGGCTTTGTGGTTGGATGGTGCGGTCAGTGAAGGGTCAGGTCAATGGTGAGATGGGCGCTTTTTTGTAAAGTTGGGTGCTGGTGAAGGGGTTTTGCGGCGGAGAAAGTTGGAGATGGAGATGGGCGGAGACGGAGGAGATCCGTTGATGATCCACGTGCTTATCGATAGCGCTGCTCTTCCAGCAATCCTTTGTCCACGGAGTTACGCACGTTTACTTACATTGGCAAACAACTTAATCAAGTCTTTAACCCACCAACTTCTTGCCGATGCACATGTGTCATTGGCTTAGTCACTCAACACATCAGATGCTAGATAACGCAAATGCATGAATAGCTGGATATATGAAAAAAGGCTCAAACGAGAAATTAGAGCGCTCGATCAAACAGCAAACCCTCAAAGCTCAACACTTGATCCCGAGAAAAAGAAAAGCTAAAGCTGTCTGTGAATGTGGTCTGTCTAGGTCTTTCTTACGGCTCACCCAGCAGCCGTGCAGTGACGTCCCCCATGTATGCCTCCTCCAGCTCATAATCCTCGCCCTCCATCCGATCGATGCCATAGTACTTGAACGCCGCTACCACGCGGTCGACGTCGAAACCCATGCTACAGAAGCGGTCGATCAGGTCTTTGTTGTAGCCATCATACCTGTGCAGCAACAGTCAGCGAGGATATATGCGCAGATTTCGAGCCGGTGGTCCATACTTGGCGAGATCCTCCTTCTCCTGCTCCGCCTTAGACTTGAGCTCCAGCTCGCGCAGGGTCTCATCCGTCGCCCCGCCACTGCCCTCTCCCGCGTGTTTCCTCGGCGCCCCCGCATATATGACCGCCCACTCCTGGGCCTTCCGGGCGAACTCCTTAGGGTGGCGTAACAGCATCTGCGCGACCTCCGCGTCCTGCGGGTCCTTCGGTTCTGGCGTGCTCAGTAGTGACTGCAGTGAGAGGAGAGCGGATTTGATGGTGAGGACGGGCGACCAGGCGGTGGATAGGGTATCCAGGCAAATCGCGCCCTAGAACAGGGAAATGAGGCATGAGCAAGTCTCGGCACGAGGATTGGAAGAGGGAAGCTCCAGCACTCACCGTTTGACTGCTGACATTCGGGTGCCAGACCTTGGTTTGGAACTTCATCACAGGGGGCCGGAACGGGTAGTCGGTGGGAATCTTGATGTCCACTGCATATGTACCACCTTCGTACGGAGTCCCCGGCGGACCTGGGAAGGTCCCGCGGAGGTGTGTGATATCGTCGTCGTTCCCTACCGGCTCCGCGGTGATTTGCGAGTGCGTGTCCGCATGTATGTCGGCAATCTCCTTGGCGATACGACGTGCTCGATTTGAAGCCATAGTTTTGAGAATTGAAACGAGGTAGTTGCGAAGGAGCAAGCAGTAAATAGCTTCTGGGGTGAAAGGCCAACGAGGATTCTTTCCTGGGAAACAATACGAAGCGCAAGCTATATAAGTGAAAATCAGGTTATGTCAGCCTGAGAGCAGTATAAATAAAGTAATGACGATTATACAGGAAAGTCCTAGGCAAGCTGACACGAAGCGGAGGTATAAAAAGGAAAAAGGAAAAAGCAAAAATGGACGCTGATGGAGGAAAGATAGAGCAGTGCAGCCTCACTTAATCGACGGGGAACTGGCTCGGAAAATGAGGGGATCGCAAGTATTGGTGGGGCGTAAGCGCTCGCCGACGATAAAGCTCGCAGCTGGTTGGAAACACACCTCCTGATGGCGCACTGCGAATCGATTTAGGGAAGCTCTTCCCAATATAGTGACGGTGCTAATCTATTCTTGTTCAAGTGAAAGTCAAGAAATCTGATATGTCGACCGCGTTGCTGTATCTAAAAGGAAGCCGAGGGAAGAGGGGAATGGATGATCATGGATCATGGATCATGGATCCATGATGGATGATCAAACGAATTGCCAGATTCGTACTGGTGGCCTGGTGGCCTGGCAAGGCAGCCTACGCTGGCCAGAGCTTGTGGCCTTGGTCCTCAGGCTCTAATGCAAAGCACGTGAGGCGGTGAGGCGGTGATGCGTTGTTGGCCGCAGCGCCAAGGCCGGCACGGATGGCGACGACGACAGCTTCCCAGCTGCTGCTCATCTCATCACCGCTTCACGCCTTCCATCCTCCTCCCATCATCCACCGAGCTTGCGCCCCATCCCCCAGTACCTCTACATCGAATCTTTGTCCGCCTCTAGTCTGGCCGTTATTTTCCTTACATAATACTCGCCCTGTGTCTTTAATTCTCTAGGACTATGGTACGCTGTCAACCCTTGCTGTCGCTCACAGCTCTTGACGCCTCTTGATGTCACCTATCTAATACTTTCCAATAAATAGGGTAACCAGCAGTCCAACATTGGCGGAGGTCCCGGTGGGGATGGAAGAGATGACAAGGACAAGAAGGTATGTCTGTCCTTCCGCTCAGAGTCATGATACGTCAGCTTACCAAAATACTCGTCCACAGAAGGATAAGCCCAGATACGAACCACCTCCCCCCCCTACCACTCGCCTCGGTCGCAAGAAGCGCAAGGCCGCAGGCCCCAGCACGGCTTCCAAGCTCCCCGACATCTTCCCGACGTCACGATGTAAACTACGATACCTCCGCATGCAGCGGGTTCACGATCACCTGCTGCTAGAAGAAGAATACGTCGAGAACATGGAGCGTCTGCGCAAGACCAAGGCCCAGGCTGCACTGGATACCGCCAACCGAAGCGACCTCGAGCTCGCGGACAGAAACGCAGATGAGAGAAGCCGGGTTGATGACATGCGAGGCAGTCCCATGGGCGTCGGCAACCTGGAAGAGCTGATCGACGACGATCACGCGATCGTCTCCAGCGCTACTGGCCCCGAGTACTACGTCTCGATCATGTCGTTCGTGGACAAGGACTTGCTTGAGCCGGGTGCCAGTATCCTTCTACACCACAAGTCGGTCTCCGTGGTTGGTGTGTTGACTGAGGAGTCCGATCCTCTCGTCTCCGTGATGAAGCTCGACAAGGCACCGACCGAGTCTTACGCAGATATTGGTGGTCTTGAGACCCAGATTCAGGAGGTCCGCGAATCCGTCGAACTTCCGCTGCTCCACCCGGAGTTGTACGAGGAGATGGGTATCAAACCGCCTAAAGGTGTTATCCTGTACGGTGCCCCCGGTACCGGAAAGACCCTGCTGGCCAAGGCTGTCGCCAACCAGACCAGTGCCACTTTCCTTCGTATTGTTGGCAGTGAGCTTATCCAGAAGTACCTTGGAGATGGTCCTCGCTTGGTTCGACAGATCTTCCAGGTTGCGGCTGAACACGCCCCATCCATCGTGTTCATTGATGAAATCGATGCTATTGGTACGAAGCGTTACGACTCCACATCCGGCGGTGAGCGAGAAATCCAGCGTACCATGCTGGAGTTGCTGAACCAACTGGATGGTTTCGACGACCGCGGTGATGTCAAGGTGATCATGGCCACCAACAAGATCGAGACTCTGGATCCCGCTCTGATCCGTCCGGGACGTATTGACCGAAAGATTCTCTTCGAGAACCCCGACCGTGAGTGCCCCCCTATTTTGCCAGCCGAGCTCGAGTACTAATTGTATTCTAGAAAACACCAAGAAGAAGATTTTCACCCTACACACTTCCAAGATGTCGCTGGGAGATGACGTCGACTTGGATGAGTTCATCAACCAGAAGGATGATCTTTCTGGTGCTGATATTCGGGCCATTTGTACCGAGGCCGGTCTCATGGCTCTGAGAGAACGCCGGATGAGAGTGCAGATGGACGACTTCCGCGCTGCCAGGGAGCGCATCATGAAGACTAAGCAGGACGGTGGCCCTGTTGAGGGCTTGTACTTGTAGACGCGCAACGTTGATGCTGTACGTAGATCTATAGTAGCCTAACAAGTGATCTTTGGTCCACAAGTTCCTTTATGAGCTCTTGAGCTATAATACGTAGTCTATATCCTTTTGGAGATAGTCGCTTATGTAACGCAAGATGCGTATACATTTTACATTGATCTTCTGCTCGAACGGTTTCAGCTATGCTGAGGTAAAGTCATCTCCACCAAGCGTCACGTCATGTCTCTAGTCTGTGGACTGGTTGTTATCAGTACAGTAAGAACCAATCTTATCATCACGTGCACCAACGGCAAACAGAACAAACGATACAAACTTGTCAAAAGAGCTGGAACGTCCTCTGAATGTCGTCTGAAGTCAGCGCTTTTTATCCTGCGACACACTCTCTCAACTAGCCAAAATGGAAGGATTCGACGAGGAAGCCTTCAAAAAGTTCTTTCCAACTAGCTTCGGCCGACAGGAGAAGAAAACCGATGTGAGCACTCAGATCGATCGCACCAAGCGCACCGAGGTAGCTGCGAAAGTCGACAGCGATGACGAGAAGACGCGATCGAACACCGAGGTCACTCCTGAAGAGCCAACCATTCCTGAACCGGTGGACCGCGAGGTGAGGCCTGATAGTAACAATGGAAGCGACGATTCCGACTCCGACGACTCCGACTCTGAAGACGACGAGGACGAGTTTCCGGTCTCCCATGAGATGCTACTCAAGACCCATGACCGGGCAGTGACTACATTGACCGTTGACCCGGCGGGTTCGCGGTTGATCACTGGCTCCACGGACTGCACGATCAAGTTGCACGATTTTGCCTCGATGACGCCGTCGACTATACGCGCCTTCAAGTCCGTCGATCCGTCTGCGAAGAAGCAGTCGGCCGCCCAAGAAGCACACTCCGTACACTACGTCGCATTCAACCCACTGGCCCCGACCTATGTGATGGTTGTCTCCGCTACAGCGCAGCCGAGGATTCTGAATCGCGATGGTGAGACGGTTACTGAATTTGTCAAGGGTGACATGTATTTGAGGGACCTACACAATACCAAGGGCCATATTTCGGAGGTCACCAGCGGAGCATGGAGCCCGACCGATGAGAATCTATGTGTGACGGCTGGAACGGACAGCACAGTGCGCATCTGGGATGCTAATGTAGGAAGGACACAAAAGGAAGTGATTGTGCACAAGTCCAAGATGGCTGGATCCGCTGGTCGGAGCAAAATGACAGCCGTCGCATGGGGCTCGCCCAAACAAGGAGGCCCTAATGTTCTGATCGGTGCTGCCCTTGATGGGAGCTTGATGATGTGGGGTGGTGATGGGCCATTTACCCGTCCAAGTGGTGAGGTTCGGGATGCTCATACCAAGGACACCTGGACGAGCGGCGTCGACATCAGCTCCGATGGCAGGCTGGTAGTCACTAAAGGTGGCGATGACACCATCAAGCTTTGGGACACGAGAAAATTCAAGAAACCGATCACGACTGTATCCCATCCGTCTAGTACCCGCTTCTCGACTTCGAACATCATCTTCTCACCCTCCTCGGCGAATGTGCTTACTGGCTCCGAAACTGGCCACCTGCATATGTTGAACCCTGCTACGCTGAGGCCAGAACTAGTAACGCCGATTACTCCTGGATCCCCGGTCATCACTGTCCTATGGCACGAAAAGATGAACCAGATCCTTACCGGTTCTGCCAATGCCGAGACGCATGTTCTCTACAACCCGAATATGTCGACTAGGGGCGCGGCCTTGGTTATGTCCAAGGCGCCGAAGCGCCGTCACATCGATGATGACCCTAGTCTCACTATGGATCTCAGCCAGGGTCTCTCGGGAGACTCTGTTGTAGTGGGTTCGAACGGAGTTCCTCACTACAGCTCGTCTACTTGGTCTGCCCGCCATCCGACCATTGGGTTGACGGCTTCAGGACGCCCTAAGGACCCTCGCAGACCGTACATGCCGGCTGCGACTCCGTTTGCCAAGTCGCAACCAGACGAGAAGCATATTCGAGATAACATCCCTCTCAGTTCGATGCGGGACGAAGATCCTCGGGAGGCCCTGTTGAAATATGCAGACAAGGCTGAGAAGGATCCAATTTTCACCAAGGCGTGGAAGGAAACACAACCCACGCCTATCTATCGGGAGCTCAGCGATGATGAAGAACAGAAGCCAGAGAAAAAGCGGGCAAGGAGGTAATCAGCATGACAGGCTCTAATTGTCGGTCTTTTGTAATGTCTTCGAAATAGTTTAAAACCTTTGTATATATCCCACATGACAAGATGGCGTTTGGAGGGTGCAACGGGAAATTCATCAAAAGCGAGCAATCATTCTATTTAAAGACCTGTAAAGATGATGATGATCGGGGATCTGTCAATCCGGAGTCACGGAGAGTTTGTTGTCGAGGACGAACTAGTTCATGCTTGATGACGTTGGACCGACGGGGAGGAAGCGGAGAAGGAAAATGGCGCCTCATTCCTCGGATCGCGGTGCGAATCAAGGCGAATTATGGCCTGAAGTAGAAGTATAATGATGCCTGCTGTGCTTGGACACAGGTCCAAAGACTTTTGAGATCTTCTGAGTAGCTTTGCTAGCACCTGACGTGTGACTGCTCATGTCTTGTCTTATCCTATCCTGTCTGGGTTTAAGGGGAGGATAAATTATTTAATTTAGACCAGCGCGACTCCTGGTCGGTTCGCTCGGCTTCTTTCCATCCACTCTCTCTTCCTTCCAACCAAACCAACCAAACCCAACCCAAATCAACTCCTCCTCCCTGATCGCTCGCTCGATCGACATTTTACTTTTATCACTCCAATACTGGACTCCTCGTTTCTTGTGGATCTCTTGATTTCTCCGCAGCGTCTAAGTCGTTCAACAGGCGACTTCGCTTGACCGACGACGAAGATTTAGGGGACCCAAATACAGCATGCGGTGGTTCTCAGGAGCATGAACGACGGCTCAGGAAATCAATCACCAGTACAATTTTGGTGAAGTGACTAGAATTCCTGGCCTGGCGTTACCAAGCTATTGAATCTTCATTTTAAGACTACCACACAGCAGAAAGCTTTTGTGAGTCTGCACATCTTCGGATTTGACGATCCTCGGCGAAGCAACCAAGTCAATCGGGACCTCCGCTTTGTCTTTATCTCCCCTCAAACTCTCTTCGACATTCCCGCTCACCCTTTCCGGCTCCCTTACGCCGCGACTCATCGCATATGGAGCATATGCGGGAGGCGCCCCTGGCAGCAGGTCTGCTCACCACACTCCTGTCCTCCGCCATTCCAACGCCCACCGCTCTAGCCCAACATTCACCTTCTTCATCCCCGCTTCTATCTTCTCCGACTGCGAACCCCGTGTACGATGGCGGCAACGGTGATGGGGAATCGGGTGGCATGCACGAATGGTCCTCCCTGATTGGAATTGTGACTGCGCTGGTTGGCAACGTGCTCATTTCGCTGGCGCTCAACATCCAACGCTACGCGCACATCCGGATCGATCGGGAATGGGAACAGGAGAAGCTACAAAAAGAGATAGACTGGAAACGCACCCACCAAGGCCATGACCACGATCTGGGTGATGGTGAATCCGGTCGAGGCCGCAGCCGTGCTGCTCTCCAAGGACGTTACCGGGATGAATCCCCTGACTTTGTACCTGAGGACGCGCCGAACCGTTCCGAGCGGAGCCAGCGATATCGCGACGAGGAAGAGGAAGACGACGTGCATGATTACATGGGGGATTCAATGCAGTCCGACAATACTGTCCGGCCGGAAAACGAGGGCGACCGCCGGAGTGGCCGCAAATCCTACCTGCGCTCGCCGTACTGGTGGGTCGGAATCGTGCTCATGTCTGTAGGCGAGGTGGGAAACTTCATGGCCTACGGGTTCGCGCCCGCGTCTATCGTGTCTCCGTTGGGTGTGGTCGCGCTGATCTCGAACTGTGTCATTGCGCCCTTCATGCTGAAGGAGAAATTCCGGCAACGCGATGCTTGGGGTGTTCTCATCGCCATCGCGGGCGCCGTGGTGGTTGTGATTAGTGCCCCGTCCTCGGAGGAGAAGATTGGGCCTCACGATATCTGGGTGATGATCACGCGCTGGGAGTTTGAACTCTACTTGGGGCTCACGGCTGCGTTGATTGTCGGGCTGATGTGGGCTAGTCGTAAGTATGGGCCGAAGACAATCTTGATCGACGTGGGGCTGGTTGCATTGTACGGTATGTTCAGTATTGTTGATTGTGATACTGTTTTTATACATGATTGCTGATGTTGTCTATGTAGGTGGATATACTGCCTTGTCGACCAAAGGTGTCTCTTCTCTATTGACATTCACCTTTTGGCATGTTATCACGTTCCGGGTCACTTATCTCCTCGTTTTCATCCTCATCTTCAGCGCAATAATGCAGATTCGATACATCAACCGAGCGCTGCAGCGTTTCGATTCGACCCAGGTGATCCCGACTCAGTTTGTTCTTTTCACTCTTTCAGTCATCATCGGCAGCGCCATTCTGTATCGCGACTTCGAAGCTTTCACGGTGAAGCGCGCCAGCAAATTCGTGGGCGGTTGTCTTCTGACCTTCCTAGGAGTGTACTTCATCACTAGTGGAAGAGTCCGTAGCGACACGGAGTCCTCTTTCTCGGCTGATGACGAGGAAGAAGCTATCGGGCTGCTGGCGGGGGAGCGCTATCACGATCATGTCGATCTGTCACCGAATCTAGCTCCGCAAGGCAAAGTACATCAGCAGGGACGAACTGTGCACAATTTTCAGGATGGCAGTCTGGAATCTCCCTCCGGGTCACTTACCAGTCATGGCCTTGAGGATGTGGATGATAATTTGCCCACGCCTCGGGGAGCTTTGTCTGCTGCGCCATCATCCCCGACGGGTTCTCTTATTGCGGAATCGGAATCACGTCGCTTAGATGAGCCCACATCCCCTGTACACCCCAGTTCACTTCTAAGAAACCCGTGGGCTGAGTCCCGAGGATCAACGTCGGCTTCAAGCCATCGCCCATCCACCCCTCCTGGACACTCGGGATCAACCACACATGAGTCGCCATTTCTGCTTCGCTTCCCTCCTGCTCCTGGCGCAGAAGACGGCGAACCGCAAGGCACGCCCACTGAAGGAACTCAGCAGAATGTCCGAAACGTTGTTGTCCCGCAGACCCCACCGGCACGGAGACTGCGCAATTCCATATCTAACTTCTCGCCTGGCCCTTTCCTCCCCGCGATCTCATCTGGGTTCAGCGCGGTGGTTGCTGAGTCGCTTCGTCGCGGTGAGATCAGCCCCAACAAGGGTCGGAAGATTGGACGACGGATAGGCCGGAAGAAGCAGCTGAGTACGACAGTGTTGGATGGATACACTCGGACCAGAAATGGCGAGACACTCGAGCCCATCCGTGATTCGGATGGAAGTGCTGGAGTGGGTCTAAACCCCCGGTTCCCATTGTCAGACACCCGGCTCCATTCTACGGGTGAGCTCTCTACAGCTCCTGTGACTGCCGGTGCTGCCACTCCTGGGCTCGAATCGGAAGTTGGTACTGGAACGCCCAAACCACAGGATATTGCCTCGCTCTCGCGACTTCGAAGCCTGAGTGATTCGTGGAGCGGAGGACTGGCCTGGCTCGGCGGCGTTCTCCACAAACCCGGTGCGAGGAGAGGGTCCGCTAATCCACCTCTGTCGGAAGACCAAGGAGTTGACGGCAGTGCCGGGTCCGAGTCTGACACGCAGGTGTAGTAGGCTGAGAGTTTCTCAGGTGGCTGAGTCACACCACTTGTTAGTACATACTTTTGTTTTCGAGTAATATATGGGCGGAAGATAATTTCAGATAGCATCGGCATTCCCTCTGCACTATATAGGGGTTTTAATAGACTTTAGCGTTATGGTTCATCAGTCGAGATGGAGGGCGAGTGAAGCGTTCAATTCTGCATGACACAGTATGCAGTGAAAATGGAAGAAACAGCCTCTGCCCACATGTACAGGATAACTCATACGACCAACCTCGAATATTATTAGTGTAATTGAAATAGTGGAATTGAAGGACTAGTAGGGAACAGTGCAGGGAAGCTGCAGCAAACTGGAAGGGAGACTCTCGATAGGCGGAATTGACTGGGCAAGACCCTGGCAAATTCCCCCGGCTTTAATCTATCCTGTCAACAACCCCTCATCTCCTCCTCTCCTCCTCTCCTCATCTCTTCATTCCTTCTCCTCCTCACCCCACTCGACAATTTAGCCGTGAACTTCACCATGGGAAATTTCATTTCTCCATCTTCAATTTATTCTGGCTCGTCGGGCCGGACCATTCATCAATCAGGAATGCCTGTGCTCCGTTGTGTCTGCGGAATTGATTCGTCTTCTCATTCTCGCCTCCACGGTCCTGGTCTAGGCTAGTGATGCATTGCAGCTGGCTCTCATCTCCGAACCGATTGTCTGAGCAGCCTAAACTAGTTCATCTCTGCGGCCGTGTGGGATTTCCAGTGACGTTTGCTCTGGTTTCCCTGTTCTGTCGGGCCTCCGCTTCAATTGATTTCTTAAGCCCCGACTGCGCGATGGAGGAGGTTAAATACCACTACCCTTGCTCCTCGCACTGGTCCGAGGGTGAATTCCAGAATCGGCGAATTCCTCTTTTCTCTTCCTTTTCTCTTACCAGAATAGTGAAGAACAGATTGGGAGCCGGCTTCTTGATCCAGCCCGCCTCCTTCGCTCGGTCTCGCCAAGATGGGTGCTAGTTTGCTAACCAAGGGGCTTGCCCTCCTCCACCTCTGCGTCGGGTTAACGGCCGCAAGCAATGGCTCAACACCGCTCTACAAGGACCCGCATGCTTCGGTGGATGATCGCGTCACTGATCTTCTGGGTCGCATGACGATCCACGATAAAACGGCGCAGTTGCTGCAAGGTACGGGCTATTCCTCGGTGGCCTGCATCATGTCCTCGGATAATCTGAGTGTCGAGTGTTATAGGTGATCTCTCGAACTGGATGAACACCACGACTGGAGCGTTCAACTACTCCGGCCTCGTTGCGAACATGGAGCTGAAGGCTGGAGGATTCTACGGTAGGGGCTTCTTGCTGTGCGGAGGATCCCGCGGTGAACCCACGGGCTGACTGGTGTTTAGTTGGGTATGCGGTCCCGTGGGACTGGATGGTGACGAACATCAAGCATGCGCAGGATTACCTGGTTCACAACACGACGCTTGGGATTCCGGCGCTTGTTCAGACGGAAGGTAAGGCTTCATGTGATCGTCTCTGGTAGGATACATGCTAACAGTGGCAGGTATTCATGGATTCTTGGTTCAGAATGCCACCATCTTCAACTCGCCTATTGCATATGGTTGCTCTTTCAACCGTGAGGTTAGTGTGGTGCATCGAGAACACCCCGACGGCTGCAGTCTAACCAATTGAATTAGTTGGTCTACAAAATGGCCAAGATCATCAGTCAAGAAACTCTTACTCTTGGTGTCAATCAATTGTTCGCTCCCGTGGTTGATCTGGCCCGTGAGCTGCGCTATGGTCGGGTAGGTCCACGTTATTGGCATTCTTCGCGGCTCACAGGCTGACGTTGTCGTTCAGGTCGAAGAGACGTTCTCCGAGGACCCTTACCTTGCTGGCGAGATTGGCTACAACTACGTGAAAGGCCTGCAGAGTCTCAATGTTTCGGCCACCGTCAAGCATTTCGCCGGCTTCAGTGCACCCGAGCAGGGATTGAACACCGCGCCGGTTCAGGGAGGAGAAAGATACCTTCGTACCACGTGAGTATGCCCGTCTGTCGGGTTAGATAATGCTAACGGCGCTAAAGCTGGCTGCACTCCTTCAAGCGGGCAATCATTGATGCAGGCGCATGGAGTGTCATGAGCGCCTACCACTCGTGAGTGATGTCTCTCTTCCTGATTTAGGGCATCGACTTACTGGTACCAAGCTACGACGGCATCCCGGCTGTGGCCGATTATCTCACCTTGACAAAGATTCTAAGAGGAGAATGGGGCTTCAAACACTGGGTCTTTAGCGATGCTGGTGCTACCGATCGACTCTGCACGGCTTTCAAGCTTTGCCAGGCTTCGCCAATTGACATGGAATCGGTCACCCTGCAGGCACTCCCTGCTGGCAATGACGTTGAGATGGGTGGCGGTTCTTTGTAAGTTGCCTGATTGCTGTGACATGGTAGGATACTGATCCCATACAGCAACTTCCAAAAGATTCCCGAGCTCGTCGAGGCTGGAAAGCTGGACATCGAGACCGTCAACACGGCTGTCTCGCGTATTCTCCGCGCCAAGTTCGAGATGGGTCTCTTCGAGAATCCCTTCCCTGCTGCACCTGAGTCGCAGTGGCACAAGCTGATTCACAGCTCGGAAGCGGTCGAGCTTGCCAGAACCTTGGACAAGGAGTCTATCGTCCTATTGGAGAACCATAACAAGACCCTTCCCTTGAAGAAAAGCGGCAGTATTGCGGTCATTGGACCCATGGCCCACGGCTTCATGAACGTGAGTGGCCCAGCCTATATCAGAAAAAGACATTGACTAACTTTTTAAAGTACGGAGACTACGTTATCTACAAGAGCCAGTACCGCGGCGTGACCCCTCTGGACGGCATCAAAGCCGCTGTCGGCAACAAGGCCACGGTCAACTACGCTCAAGGCTGCGAGCGCTGGAGCAACGACCAGTCCGGCTTCGATGAAGCCATCGCGGCTGCCAAGAAGTCCGACGTCGCTGTCGTCGTCGTGGGCACCTGGTCTCGCGACCAGACCGAGCTGTGGTCCGGCTTCAACGCGACGTAAGTTCTGCCGTTGCACATCTATCCCACATGATCCCAGCCACTAACCGATCCAAAAGCACCGGTGAGCACATCGACCTCGACAATCTCGCCCTCGTCGGCGCCCAAGGCCCGCTCGTCAAGGCCATTCTCGACACCGGCGTCCCCACGATCGTGGTTCTCTCTAGCGGGAAGCCCATCACCGACGTGACATGGCTCGCCAACTCGACCTCAGCGCTCGTGCAGCAATTCTACCCCTCCGAACAAGGCGGAAACGCGCTGGCGGACGTGCTGTTCGGCGACTACAACCCATCCGGCAAGCTGTCCGTCAGCTTCCCGCGCTTCGTCGGCGACCTGCCCATCTACTACGACTTCCTCAACTCGGCGCGCAACATCGGGCCCGCCGGCCACGCCTACCCCAACGGCACGCTGGACTTCGAGTCCCAGTACGTCCTGGGCGACCCCACCGCCATCTACGAGTTCGGGTACGGCAAGAGCTACGTCGAGTTTGCGTATGGGACGGTCCAGCTGAGCAAGACCAACGTCACGGCCTCGGACACGGTGACGGTCAGCGTGGACGTGACCAACACCGACGCCGCCCGCGACGGCACCGAGGTCGTGCAGGTGTACGTCTCGGACGTGATCGCGTCGGTGGTGGTGCCGAACCGCGCGCTGAAGGGCTTCGAGAAGGTGCTCATCCCCGCGGGCAAGACCACGACGGTGGAGATCGATCTGAAGGTCGAGGATCTGGGCCTGTGGAACCGGTCGATGCAGTACGTCGTGGAGCCGGGGGCGTTCACGGTGCTGGTCGGGAGCAGCTCGTCGGACATCCGGGGGAATGCGACGTTCTATGTTGAGTAGGGGGCCGGACTTTGGTTTGCAATGTAGTAGCTGCCTTTACTGATGTAGTTCATGCTGAGCAAGCTATGAAAAGTGAGGTTTATTTGAACATCTCAAACAGCTACAGTATCTTTGTGTGCAGTCAGAGACAGCCGCTTTAGACATCCAGTTGCTCCATGCTTCCACTCGATAATATGGGGATCAGGTGCATCCATGAACCACCGTGCGAAGCCCTGCATCCGCTGCTCCTGAGGGTAGTGGTAGTGCAACATGAACAAACCCTCCTCTTCGATGGGATGGGTACCTCCCCCGGGCCGAGTTGTAAAGCTACTCCGAGCCCACCTCAGGACCCCGAGCTCGACTGCCCCCACTCTTCCCGCGGGCTGCAATGGCCCAGTCTCGCACTGTAGGTACCTCGAGGACAAATCCCAATACCTCGCGCTAGCCGCAATCCATGGAATCCTCTAGACACTTGGTACCCCTTACAGTAGCCCTGAGGTAGCCATTTGATGCAACCTTATGAACCCCCTCCAGCCTGGTAGGTAATACTCTCGCTGGCTCTCTCTCTGGCTCATTTCCAACGTAATTGCTCAACCAAGACCCTCTTTACTCAACGCCGATAAGCTTGGGGTTTCCTTTCTTCAGCTTTAGTAAAGGTGAAAAAACGGTCCGATGGCAGGATACTGCCTTTATCGGGGTTAGCACTGCCTCCAGTGATGGTGAATTGATTCAGTCTCTGAGCGTACCTCTCGGGCTTCATGGCCATGTTCTTCTGGGTACTATCCATCTGTCTGGACCGGGTGTAGGGGAGGTGGAACGGGAGACAGATGCCTGCTGTCAAGGAGGTGCGGATGATTAGCTTGGAGAGCATTGGGGGTGTTGGGTGGGTGCTGCTAGTCGACCATTGAGGCTTATGGATGTATTCATGCCCATCCATGATATACTCCTGACTCTCTCTCGACTGTCTACCTCGGCTCGGCCCCACCTCCACGGCCCCGATTGGACCCGAGGGGGGGTTATGCCTCGGGCCCAGTCAGCGAGCCAGGAATTGCCGTGACAGCTCAGTTTCTGTTTACGCGGGGGCAAATCGACGATCCCCCAGACTGCCCACTGCGAAGTGCATACCCCGCATTCTTGACCCATGCATACTCTATAGGTAATCTACAGAGCCTACACACATTTGCACAAACAGACTACCATATCAACGACTCCCCCAAGCCATGCCACACCCTGCATCTCTCCCACCCGTCTCAGTGTGTGTATAGCATCGGCCACCATGGATAAACCTCCCCCCTCCAAGAGGCCTCGACTGTCCATGGCCTGCAACATCTGTCGACAACGCAAGGTCAAGTGTGATGCCGAATACCCCAAATGTCGCAACTGTCGCGTCCGGAATCAGGTCTGCGTGACGACCGATCCGCAGCGTCCGGGGGTGACGGGGTTCAGAGAGTGGCTGGACTTACCCCTGATGAGCAATGGGGGGAATATGAACGAGAAGGGAGACCATCTGCAACAGCAGGACCAGGAAGATCCGATCAGTCGAAGTCATGCTGCGCACTCACATGAAGCCACCCCCTCATCGCACAAAGAAGACAGTTTCTTAGCCACGGGGCAGCAACCAGCTGCAGCCGTGAATGAGGTCTCCCCCGTTCACCACCCGTTCGACACTGTCAGCGTTGAGGATGGATGTGACCGCACAAAAGTGCTCGGAGCAAGTAGCTCGCAATGTCTCGCCAAGTCTCTGGATGTATACTTCACAGCGGCGCGGCTGAAGCCGGTCACCGGGTTCTTTCGCCACGGAATGCGGTTCGCCGAGGAACTGGAGCTGCCGCTGTGTGTATCGCTGCCGGAACTGCCAAGTCCAGAGAATCGACAACGGTACTTGACGGCCTTCCTCTCGCGCATCCACCCGTTGTATCCGATCTTCCACGTGGAGCGGCTGGAAGCGGGCGTCGAGCAGCTGGCCACGTTAGCGGACTTTCGACATCTGCCGCATGAACGCATCCCCCGACTCGTGACGGCGTATCTGATCATGAGCCTGGGGGCGGATGAGCTCGCGCAGGGACAGACGGAGGATGGGGATCGGTACCTGCTCGCGGCGGCGGGGCTTCTCGCGCACGTCATCACGATCCCCTATCTGCCCGCGGTGCAGACGCTGCTGTTGTTCACGGTCACCTACCGCGGCCGCAATAAAGAGGGGCTGGCGTGGCAGACGCTGGGCATGGCGATCCGCGTGGCGTACACCCTGGGCCTGCACCGGCTCAGCGGGCTGGCGGCGCGACGGCAGTACATCCACCGGCGCGTGTGGCTGATCTGCTGGTCGCTCGAGAAGATGATGCATCTGGAGTCTGGGCGGCCGATGGCCATCACCGTCGAGCCGTGCCAGCCCGCCGAGGAGGACTTCCGCCCCGAGGACCGGTTCCTGCGGTGGCACGTCCAGCTCGCCGACTCCCAGGGGAACATCAGCCATCACATCTACAACCACCACCCGGGCACGACGCGCACGGCCCGGCAGATCCTGCTGGACACGGCGCGCCTCGACCAGGAGCTGCTGGCGTGGGCGAACCAGATCCCGTCCGATCTGCGGCCGGGCAACGATATCTTCTGTCCGCGCGAGGAGTTCCACCACGTCACCTTCTTGGCCATCCAGTACCACGAGGCGATGATCTCGTTGCATCGCGCCGCGCTGATCGCCCCGACGACGACGTTCGACGAGGAGGTCACGCGGTACTGCTCCGATGAGCCGTCGCAGCATCGTCTGCGCAACGGGGAGTCGATCTGTGTCAATAGTGCGCGGGCGATTGCTAAGTTGAGCATCGAGCTGTCGGAACGCGAGGCGGACTCGCAGATCATCACGGCGGGGCCGTCGATTCTGGCCTGCATCGTCCTGGGGATTTTCCTGATGAAACATCCTGGTTCGAAGCTGCGGGCGATGGACCTTCAGGTATTTTGGTCGTGGTTAGTCTGTGGATCACGAAGCTAATGAGTGGCAGCTGCTGAAAGCGTGTCTCGGATACACGGGCGTGCAGATGTCGAAATACGACGCCGACCCTCGGTTCTCTGAGGGTATGCACCTTTTCTTGTTGTTCTGTTAGCACCTTCCCTTGCTGTCTTGCTAGCATTTTCCATTGCTGTCTTGTCAGCGCTTTTCCCCTTTTCTCCGTTAGCACCTTCCCTTCTTGTTCTACCAGCAGCTCCCCTCGTTGTTCTGTCGCACCTTCCCTGCTATCTTGTCTTCTACTAACCGCTCGTGGAGCAGGCCTACACATCATGTACGATCAAATATCATCCTATCTCCACTCATACACCAGACCCAGTCTACAAACTCCCATCCAAAAACCCCCGCCCTACTCCGCCTTGACCCCCAACCCGCACCCGCACCCACGCCCCGCAAAGCCCGTCACCTCGCTCCCCACCCCCTCAGCGTTCGAGGATATCACCCCGACCACCTGGCATCAGCTCGAAGACGACCTGCGGCGGTCGGAGACGCTGGCCCCGAGCAGCGGGCTGCGGGGGGTCGAGGAGCGGCCGGAGGTGTCCCTGGGACCCCCGGAGCGACTACCAGGGCAGCAGCTGTCGCCGGGGTTCATGGGGGGCGCGTCGTTAGTGGACGGGTTCGAGGACCAGTATTATCCGTTCGCGGGATATAACGTAGATGAGCTGTGGAATTGGATGTTGTATGGTGGCTCGCCTGACACGGGGGTATAATTCTGATAGTTGGGGGGTAGACGTTTCTGGGGCTTCCCCCAGACCCCCGTCTTTTTAATTATAGAGATCAACAACAATCTTAATCTTAGGCTCTATAACGTTCCTGGGGGTTCCCCCCAGACCCCCCTCTTTTTATAAATTGTAGCTGCCAACGACAATCGCCAACCTTCGGTTGACGATTACAACAGAAACTCCCCTGCCCTACTACCTCTAGCAACAGCCATCTCAAATCCACGACATACAGTACAAACAACAAACTCATTCAACTAACACAATCACATACGCAATCCAAACTAAACCAGAGTACACAAACATCAAACCCCCCTGTTCCCCAGGACTAAATCAACCCATCGCCTCCAAATACGGAATCCCCGTCAACTTGTACGTCCGCTCACTCAACACAGGCTCCTGCACCGGCCGCTCCCTGGCGACCGGACACCGCTCCCCATCGCGCATCGCCACATTCGTCGGCGCAACATGCACCGCGTTCGGCCAGTGCGTCGTCCCCAGCCGCTCTACCAGCACATCCGGATCAGCCACGCCCCCAAAATCACCCGCAGGGAGGAGAGGAAGAAACATACGCTCAAAGGCCCCCTTCTTCCGCACCAAGTCCTCCCGGCTCGCCTCGCACACCGGCGTATAGCACGTGTACACCGCCAGCCGATCGACCGCCCCCGTCGGCGGCACGTTGTAATGCGGCGTCCGCGAGTCCCACACGATCAGATCGCCCGGCTCGCAGCACACCTTCTCCCACTGCAGCCCCCGCTCCGCCAGCCACGCCATGCCCCCCTCCGTGAACCCGAACCACTCCGGCGTCCACGCCGGGATCCGCGGCTCGTCGCGCGCCGCCATCGCCGCGTGGAACTCCGCCGACACGTTGTGTCCGCCCTTGCAGACGATCAGGCCGCCGTCGTTCGGGCCGCTCGGGTGCAGGTTGATGAGGCCTTGGAGGCCTGCATTATGCGTGTTAGCATGGGTCAGCGGGCCAGGCAGGGAAGGGAAGGCAGGAAACGTACAGCGGAACCCGGGCTTCGCCGGGTCTTGGTCCTGGTGGGGCCAGGGCTTGCTGTTTCTCTTTGTCAGTAATCCTATTCCAATTCCCATCCTGCAAAGGACATCACTGTAGGAAAAGGGGTGGGGGGGGAGTACTTCTCCGGTAAGTCCTCGCGACTGCCACCACAGATACACACAGGTTAGCCATATCACCATCATACACTTCCCCAACCCCAAGGAAAAGGGAAAAGGACCTACTTCACAAACCCCACATTCACCACATCAAACGACACAATCAACTCCTCGTCGTCGTACACCTTGGCAAACGCGTCGATCACCCCCGCCTCCCCCCGGATATCCCACACCCACTGCTCGTGCGTCACCCCGTACGCCTGGATCATCCCCTTCTCGTTCAGCACGGGCAGCTTGGCGCGCCGCACCGTGCTCGGATCGTGGCGGCTGTAGCCGAGTCCGCTTTTTGCGTCAAGCCGTCAGCTTTGTAGGGAAGAGATGGGGAAAGGTTTAGGGAAAGGGAAGGACATACAATCCCTCCAGATAGCTCAGAAACGCATCCGCGTATTTGTCCGCCCGCTCCCGCGGGATCGCGCCTTTGATCACCGCGTAGCCGTCGCGCGAGAGCGCGTCGCGGAAGTCGTTGTAGTTCGTCGGGAGGCCGTCGAAGGGCATGCGGTTTGCGCCGGGGAGCTTGGAGGTGGGGAGGGTGGATTTGGGGGGGAGGGTGGTGGTTGTGGTGGTGGTGGTGGTGGACATTTTGGTGGGTTGGTTTTGAGTCTTTATTTTGGAGTTGTTTGGTGGTGTTAGTTGTTGTGCCACTGGATTTGGGATCTGGGTGAAGGGGGGCATGTATATACCTTTCATTCTGGGGATGCGTGCTGCAGAGGCTTGACCTTGACTGCACCGATCTGCGCCGAGGTTAGGGCTCGGAGGGCCCCGAGACCCCCCCGTTCGGCCCCTCCTCGGCCGTGGGGATGCTTCGGGGGAGGATCAGGGCGCCGAGGTCAGCAGACACAAACACAGACTTGTAGTCGACACGACACACACGTAGACTTGGGAATTCCCCCGTCGAGGTAGACGGCCATCGCATAAGTGCTTTCATTCTCACTCTCGTCAGCATTCCCAGAATACGAACAGTCTGGCAAATCGACAAAATGGAGCCCTTCAAAATCATCATCGTCGGCGGCGGCATCGCCGGCCTCGCAGCTGTACGTCCCCGTTACCCGTTACGTTATTCTAACCCTACGCCTTCACCTCAACCATCCCCCCCCCCTGTACCCGTCTGTCTGATGTGTTCCCTAACGAAAGCAGGCCATCGCGCTCCGTGCCCCGCGCCGCGAAATCCTCATCCTGGAACAATCCCCGCTGCACCGCGAAATCGGCGCCACCATCTCGCTCCAGCCCAACGCCTCGCGGATCGTCGAGGCGCAGTGGGGTCTGGCGGCCGCGCTGCGCGCCCGCGGCGCCATGGTCGACTCCGCCTTCGAGGTGTACGACCTCTCCGGCCAGCTGCAGACGCGGGTCCCGCTGCGCACGCGCGACACGTACGGCGCCGAGCGCATGATCTACCACCGCGCGGACCTGCACGAGGCCCTGAAGCAGCGCGCGACCGGCGGCGACGGCGGCGGCGACTACCCCGGGGATGGGGTGCGGATCCGCACGGGCTGTCGGGTGCGGGCGGTGGATTGTGAGCGCGGGACGGTGCAGTTGGAGACCGGGGAGGTGGTGGGGGCGCATTTGGTGGTCGGGGCGGATGGGATCAAGAGCTTGGTGCGGCGGGCTGTTCTGGCCGAGGATGCGCAAGAGGGCGAAGGGGAGGGGGAGGCGCGGCCGACGGGCCTGTGTGCGTACCGCATGATGATCCCCACGGCGGCGCTGCTGCGGGAGCCGGCCTTTGCGGCGGTGGTGGATCCCCGCGAACCGAAGACGACGATGGTGGTCGGTGGGGACCGGCGGTTGGTCATGGGCCCGGCGCGCGAGGGGTCCATCTACGGCGTTGTGGCGCTCGTGCCGGATGAGCGCATGCATGAGTCTTCCCGCGATACCAGCTGGACGACCGAGGGCGATCGCGGCAAGATGCTGCAGACCTTCGCGGATTTCCCGGCCTGGGCGCAGACGCCCCTCCGGCTGGCGGAGGAGGTCGGGCTGTGGCAGCTCAGGGATCTGGATCCGTTGCGCACTTGGTGCAAGGGTCGGGTCATTTTGATTGGCGATGCGGCCCATGCGATGCTGCCGACGCAGGGCCAGGGCGCGAGTCAGGCCGTTGAGGATGCTGAGGCGCTGGGCGCGTTTTTTGAGGGGTTTGAGGAGGCTGGCAGTGGGGAGGAGGTGGGCAGGGTGCTGCAGAAGGTGTTTGAGTGTCGGTTCGAGCGCGCCTCCACCATCCAGGCGTATAGTCGGCAGGTCGCCAGGCCGGCGACGGATGCTGACTCGATCCGCGTGGCGATGAATCCGGCCGAGTTCATGGACTATAATTGCTCGTATCGCGGGGCGGCGGAGTGGTGGCGGAGGCAGACTGAGAGGAAGGCGGTTGAGTGTCGGTGATGGTGATGGTGACGGTGATGGGCTGGAATTATGCTATGTCTAAGCGGTGGAGGTTTAGTCCTGAATCTATCTGGAGTTCAATAATGACTGTAGTCCATTGTTGATATGCACTAGAGGAACGTAACATGGATTACCATATCAAATTGGTTCAGAGCCGCTAGACGTGAAACACTTTTCACCTAGATCACTGACCCCTCATTCAGACCCCTCAACCTTGGTCTCGGTATCATTGCTAGTTGTATCATTCTCAGTGTCACCATCCTTGGCCGGAGCTTCGTCCCCCTGTGAGCTGGGATTTCTCGCCGGCTGCGGCGCCGCGCCTGCTCCCCCATTCCCCCCCGCAGCAGCAGCCTTGCTCTCCGCCGCCCGCCGGGTTTTGGCGCCTTCTTTCAGCTTCTCCCACCGTTCTCGGTACCGCCCCAGTACATCGCGCAGCTTCTCATTCTCCCGGCCCATTTGACTCATCTCCTTCTCACTGCGTCGAATGGCCTCCTCCAGTTCTTTGATGCGTTGGTCCTGTTCAGCCGCGGGCAAGGTCGAGTCTCCCACCGGCGACATAGCAGCCGACGAGCCGGGAGCGGGCTGGTCCGGCGAATGTGTGTTTGGGTGATGCATTGCCTTCAGCGACTGCTGCAACGCCATCGACGACGACTGCGCATTGACCTCCCACATGTGCAACCGCTTGGACAGCGTGTCCGACAGCTGTCTCAACGCTTGGTTTTCCATCTGCAGCTCCTCCATGGTCTTCGGGTTCTGGAGGCTGTTGAACTTGTCGTTCCCTCGTCCGGCTCGGCTGTTGCCCTGGATTCCCGACAAGCTCTGGCGGAGTTCGGGCGAGGACGGGGTCTCTCGCGCGTCCACAAAATCTTCATCCCCTTCATCGATGCTGTTTCTACGGGCCTCCTTCTCCGCTCGAGTGAGAATCCCCGCGTACGATACGGTCCCACCAGTCGTGGGCACCACGTAGAATGACTCTGCGGGATTTCCCGTCGTCCCCCCGCCGGTGGAGTCGCGGATCGCCTGCAGGGCAGCCTTGGAGAAGATCTTGTTGATATCTGGGTCCGCAGAGTGGTGAGAGCGGTCGGACATGGCGTTGTATCGGTCAGTCCGGGTATCCGCGGCGGACTTGCGGTGGGCGGCTGATTCTGATGCCTCGGAGCCAAGCGGCAGGCCCGCAAACGCAAGGGGGGCCGAGATTCTGGAGATCAAACCCTCAAATGTGGAATAGAATTTCTGGAATGGTTCTTCGGTTACAGAGGACCGGCTCTTCTGCGGGCCGGACTCGGAAGGATTAGGCGGCGCAAACTGCTGCGAGGTGATATCGGTGGGACTGGCCAGGGGCGGAGTCCGCGGCTGTTTCGATGTCGATGAACGACTGCCCCGTTCCTTCATTCCATGGGCCTGCATCCCGCGTAGTCTCGACTCGCTCGTCCGGATCTTGGCCGGGCCATCGGTCATCTTCGCCCCCGCTTGCTGGGAGGTGAGGGTAGGGGAGGCCGGGGACGAGCGACGAGGCTGTGACGGGATGCCACGGGCCGACGCTAGGTTGCTGACAATCGAAGAAGACTCCCTGGACGGTAGCCGTGGGTGTCCTGACAGTCGGGGAGGTTGCTGCTGTGCATCTGCTCCCACTGCCAGATTTCTGGTGGTGCCCGCTTCCGCGGACACAGCCTGGGGATTCCCTCCGGTCGAGGCAGGGTTGGAAGGGTTCTCATGCTGAAACCGGAGAATCTGCGCGAGTTTCTTGTGGTGTTGCTCCAGCAGATGGAGGGTTCGAAGGGCCTATGCGGAGATCAGAGTACGTTCCACCCCCCTACGTAGGGACGACTCTACGCAAACGCACCTCACGGTCCGAGCTGTGCTGGGCTGCAGTTGCAAATTCGCCTGCGGCAAGATCATGTTCCTCGCTTGCTGCCACGGGATTCGACTTGCGAGTCTCGAGGACTGCGTTGCGAGCGTGGGTATGAGCCTGGATCCGAGCGAAAGGACGGGTCAGGCTAGGCTCTTTCCGAGGCTGAGTTGGCATGGAGGAGTAAACCAAGGGGGACTCACCAGAGTAAGAGGAGCGGACTCCATGGCTGTAGATTGTGTAGGGGACTAGTTGTAACCTGATCGATCAATCGAATATCATTGGCCAGGAATTAAGAGACTGATGATTCAAGGCCCCGAGAAAACTTATGGAAGGTTTATTGAGGAACTGATAAGAGCAAGTTGAGGAGATATCCGGGATTGTTGGAGTGACGCCATGATTATTGACGAGGGGAAGATGGAAGATTCACCGCAACGGCTGAATGTGACGGTAACATTACCCGCTTTAGGAGGTGAGCTCGACTGTGGCTCTCTGTTCTGCCCCTATTCCGGGAGAGCAGAATGACAGAGCGGTGTATTGTACAGTACGCAGTCCTCCGTAAGTTATTTATTCACTGCTATTCGAAAATTCCCGGCAGGAGATTTTATAGACTTAATCAGGAATTAATTCCTCCGTAGATAGGGCAGTCTAGAATCTAGTCTTGTCAGAAAGAGCTCCGACCGTCTCAGGCTAACAATAGACTCCAAGAGTCTCAAATTATTTCCGGCTACACCGAAAGTGTCAAATCGTTGGTTTGTCGATCGGGGGGGGGGTTCTCCACTACAGCTTAAGATAGATCGTATTCGTACTGTTCTGTTTGTGGAGAGGCGGCTAGAAGCATTCATTCTATCCATGTGTTGGCCTCAACCTTAAGGCTGAACCTCTACTCTCTCTCTCTCTCTCTCTCTCTCTCTCTCTCTCTCTTCCTCCTGTTGCTGCTACTCGTCGTCATTGCCGCCTCCATCTCTTCCGCACTTCTTTCCACCCCCCCTCTTCCCCCCCCCCAATCCACATTTTCCCCTGATCCGGTTCTCAATTCCACCTCCCCCTCTTTTCACGTCGCTTCCTTCTCATGGGTTACATTTCTTCAAAGCTCTTGAAGAACCCCATATCCTAACCCCCCAAGAAGGACAATTCATTGTTGCGGTTCTGCGAACCTCTCCAACAACTTCGTCTTTCCGTTTCCCCTCATCTTCCCCTTCAGTGATCTTCGCCTTCGATTTTACTGTTGCGACAATTGGTTAGAGAGATAGACCGGTTCTACACTCTATCATGCTTCTTTCAATGTTCATAGTTTGATTCAGTCCCTCCATACCCTTTTTCCCTTGTTTCCTTCTGTACATCAAAAAACCACCTTCCCCCCTTTCCGCTTACGCCCTCATACTTCCTGCCGCCATGGACGAATCTCTCCTCTCCGACCCCGTTCCGCCCCTCTCGTCCGACCTCCGAAGTCTGAGCTCTTCCGGTCGCACCAAGACGACGCCCATAGATCTAGAGACCATGGCAAGCTCCGGTCGCAGCAATGGCCGCTCCTCGTCCATCGACTCCAGCTCCGACAGGCCGAAATCACAGTCCGGCGATGCGGACTCCGCCAAGGCAGGCTCCAGCGGATTCTCCAAGCTACTAGCCGCGCGTCGCAACAAGAAAAAGAGGAAGGACACCCAGAAGCAACCAGACGAATTGCCAACTCAGTATGAGTTGGAGGATGACCAGCACATACAGGACAGTCGCTCAAACGAACCGTGGAATGGCAATCCGTCTTTGATCAACGACCTGCCGCCCCCTCCGGACAACGACGCTATCAACCTCCTCACCGATGACTCCGAACCTGACCGGTGAGTGTAGCCGACTCGCACAACAATGAAATCTAGACTGACTGACCGTCCTTTTCTTAGCACGCCACCACTCACCTCGCATAACTCCCATAGTGGCTTCTACACCTCGTCCTCCCCTTTGATCAAAACAACCTCCGTGGAAGCTACCGATGATGGTGCTCAGGGAGACCTCGAGTCGGTCGTCAGTGGTCCGAGTGCCGGTCCAGAGTCGATTCCAGACTCGGAACGCTCAAGGCCCACGAGCCAACACGGTCATACCCTAAGTGTACCTTCATCTGGAAAGAAGAGGGGCACCTCTCCCGGTCGACGATTCAAGAATCCTTTCACGTCGAACTCGGAGAAGAAGCCCAATCGAGATAGAACAAACTCCACATCCGCAGAAAGCACGAAAAGCACGAAAAGCAGAAGTGGTAGTGTGTCGGCAAAAAAGGCCCCTGTCATAGTTGAAGACGAGCCTGTTCCCAAAATCCCGGCCCCGATTTTGACGGACTTGAAGGAGGACAAACCGCTCTCCTTGGAGGCTCCTGCGCCAAGGACGCCCCCCCACACAGCGATCCCGCAACCCTCGACCACGGTAACCCCTCCGACTCCGCGGACAACAGAATTCCCCAAGTTCTTCGCCTCTCCGGAGGTGGCGGCCTCGCCCGACTCGATGCACTCGAAGGACGGTGTCGTGGTCAGCCCGTCTGGCAATATGATCTCCCATCGGCGCGTGCGGTCTGCCTCGGCTGCAAGCCACAAACCGAGCAAGCTGTCGAATTCTATATCTGCCATGGGTCCTACCGCAGAGGAGACCAAGGCGACGTCGAAACCTCCCCCAAGCGCCCAGCAGTCGAGCTTCTTTTCGTCGGTCTTTTCTGCCGCACAGAATGCCGCATCGTCCCTCAGCAGCAGCCTCAATGCGCAATCGAAAGGTCGCAGCGTCAGTCAGGCAGGGGCGGGAGAGCACGACGATCGTGCTACCGCTGAGAAACAGGAAAGTTCGACTCAGGCGGTGGAAAGCAGAAAGTCAGACGAGAAGAAACCCATGGCTGTTGACACCCTGGGATCGGGTAACCTGGATTTTAGCCACTTGGACATAGCAATCCCTCCTGGTGGATCAGTCTCGACTCCAGACGGGGTGGTAATTACCAAGCCTGAGCTACCATCAGATCGGCGCAAAGGCCCTGGCGTTCTGCAGCGTGATGAAGAAGCTGCTAGACTGGAAGATAGCCGCGCTGCTCGAGCAGTCACCATGGCCTACGAGCAACCGGCCGCCACCTCTCTCGCCCCGCCCATGGATGACGGCGTTGATGGCCAATCCAGCACATCGCTCACTAGGGAAGGGACTGGGAACCAGACGACGCCCAGCGGCAGCGTTGTGGAGGGCGAGTTGGGAGGTACCCGCCCATATCGAAGCGGTAGCATCCGAAGCCGGATGGCCCGGCGGAGAAATCGTGGCTCATCTGGAGCCACCACTTCGACTATTGGCGCGATTGGTGCCAGCGCAATAGCCCTAGGAGCCCCTGGGGCTAATGCCAGTGTGCCACGGCTCACTGGATTCGCTGTTGCTAGCAAAAAGCGTAACCGGGACTTCCATCAATTGTTCCGCAGTGTCCCCGAAGATGACTACTTGATTGAGGATTATAGCTGCGCTTTGCAGCGAGAGATCATTCTGGCTGGTCGCATTTACATCTCTGAGGGGCATATCTGCTTCTCCAGCAACATTCTGGGATGGGTGACAACCCTCGTTATCAGCTTCGATGAGGTTGTGGCGATTGAGAAGGAGTCAACCGCGATGGTCTTTCCAAATGCGATTGCGATCCAGACTCTTCATGCGCGACACACCTTCCGTAGTCTTCTGAGTCGAGAGTCCACATATGATCTTATGGTCAACATCTGGAAGATCAACCATCCTGCCCTCAAGAGCTCAGCAAACGGAACCAGGGTCACTGACGGCACCGGAGACAAGACGGAGAAGGCCGCTGAAAGCGAGGTGGAAAGTGACGACGAAGATGAAATTTATGATGAGGATGAGGAAGGCGACAATGCCGACAGCATCTTCGAAGGAGCCACCAGTGTTCATGGCAGTGAGAAGTCTGTCCCCTCGAAGACAATCAGTCGCCAAGCCTCAGGTCTCCTCCAAGGTGCCAATAATGGACCGTCAGCTTCGAACGGTGAGGCCAAAGGTAGCAAAGCGAGCTCCCCCAGCGACGGTGATACGGATTTCCCTGGACCCGCTACCCACGCGCCTACTGAGTTCACTGATCCTTCGGGACAGTACGATAAGGTGATCAAGGACGAAATCATCCCTGCTCCTCTAGGCAAAGTATACTCCTACATCTTCGGCCCCGCATCAGGCGCATTCGTACCCAAATTTCTGGTCGAGAATCAAAAGTCTGGCGAGCTTCAGTTTGAGAGCGGTAACAAAGGTCTCACCAACGAGAGTAAAACCCGGAAATACTCGTACATCAAGCCACTAAATGGATCCATTGGGCCCAAGCAGACCAAGTGTATCAGCACAGAGAGCTTGGACTTTTTGGATCTGGAGAAGGCAGTGCTGGTCACTTTGAGTACCCAAACGCCCGATGTTCCAAGCGGTAATGTCTTCTGTACGAAGACCAAATACCTTTTCACTTGGGCGGCGAACAACCAAACCCGGTTCCTGATGACCTGTACTATCGAGTGGTCCGGAAAAAGCTGGCTGAAAGGTATGTTCTCTGAAGTGGCCCGAGACGGTAGCAGGTATGCTGATCGTGACTAGGTCCCATTGAAAAGGGTGCCATTGATGGCCAAACCTCATTCGGAACTGAGCTTGTGAACGCTCTCAAGGCTGCAGTTGCACCTCGTGGTCGCGCCGGCGGTGCCAAGTCCGGTAAAGGCAAGGGCCGCCGCAAGAGAAGTGAGTCCGCTCAAGAAGACTCTGCATCAGAGACAAAGGTAGCAGAGAAGGCAGCTGCTGAGAAAGCAACATCGTGGGGACCCTTGGAACCGCTACATGGGATCCTCGGACCTGTATCGGACATGGTCACGCCTTTGCTGAGCGGCAATGTAACCATCGTGATCATCGGCATTCTTCTCTTTATGCTCTTCTTCCGAAGCCCTTCTCAGTCGTCGACGATGTCTCACGATATTGGGTGTCCGGGCTATTCCTTGCCTCAGCGTCTCGCTGCCTACGAAGAGATGTGGCGCCGAGAGGAAAGTGAGCTCTGGAGCTGGCTGGAAGATCGAGTTGGCATGGACGGTCTGGCCTTTCCGACGGTCAGCCAGCCGTCCGGTTCGCGGACGCACCATCTGTCGAGAAAGATGCAAGGTGAGCGTGCGCTCGCCGGCAGAGTGAATGAAGAGAAAATGTCTGATCTCGAGATGGACCATGCCATTCGGTCCACACGCGAGCGGCTCGACACGCTGGAGAAGATTCTTTCTAGCCGACGATCCGACGCAAAGCCAGCGGAGCAAGAACCTCTCCACGGGGAGTTGTAAATATTGTTTGGTTCTCCCTCAGACAAAAGCGACAAATACACTATGTGACTCTGTACAGGGCCAGTCCTTGCTTGGCTGGTGATTGGACCCAGTCTCTCGTGACTTTTCTTATCTTCCATGTTTGTTCAGCGAGTTCTCTGTGTGGTCGGCACACTTGATTTAAATTTCTGATTTTGAGTTGAATCCAGCAGTTGTCCTCTGAGCATTATCAATCTGGGATTTGCATGTTTTATGCCTATGGAGGCAGATTATCTGTTTGATTCTTATCATCTTTTACAGATACTTCCTGGTCTATCGTTGAAAGCTTTGTCTCCGCTCTGATAATCCGCGTCGAGCGTGAGTGTTTCTTTTTGTTGTACATGAACCCAACCCTCACTCGTTCCTTCATCATATGTCTATACAGAGACCCGATACTAGGCTAGATCCCAGCACTAGCTGGAACCATTTCCTATTTTACACTCTACTCAGTTGCTACTCATACACGGAAGACTGGACACGTCTGCAATAATAATAATTTAATCGAACCCTCAACCGAGGCAAGGTAAGAAAACCTAAGAACCCCCCCTTATAAGCTACCCGGTTCTACATCACCCGCCTGTGTCCCGAACTCCGCTTCACCCCTCAATGTTCCAGGGGACTGGGGGCAAAATCAGTACCACCCCATCCGCGTCGTCCGCGCATTATGCACCCCGTACAGCTTCAGATCCAGACACCGGTCACACAGCCCCACGTTGTCCCGCTCCCACTTGGACAGCACCATGGGCAGATCCTTGGCGGGCTGGCACGGCTCGCGCTGCGGCGCCGGCCGCCTCTTGGCCGCCGCGCACCACTGGATGTCCGTCCGGTACAGGTGATTGCACCCGGCGTAGTGGCGGTAGACTTGCTCGCACATTTTGAAGCGAGGTGCTGTACCCAGTAGCTTTGGGTTGGGTCTGTTGATTCGGGGTTGGGTGGTGGTTTGGTTGGTGGGGTTAGTTAGCTGGTGATGTTCGTCGGTTTGGGATGGGATGGGATGGGTTGGGTGTGCGTAGCCAGGAGGCTGAGAAAGCTTATGCCTGAGTGAGTTGGGGGGGTTTATATATCCGTCCGTCCAGGATGGGAGCCTCTTTTTCGGGAGTCTTTGTTGGCGTTGTCTGGGGTTGGCGCGCGTATGCTTGGATCGGTCTTTTGGGTGCGTTTGGGTTTGGGAGCGTCTGTGGTTGTTGAGCTGCGTCTGTTGTCTTTGTGGATGATGGGGAGGTCCGGTACTTTCTTGGTGGTCTGGCTTTGTGGGGGGGGAGGGGGGTTGGTTCTTTTGTGTTGTTGTTCTAGGGCGTTGTAGGGGATGGGGATGGGGCATGTGCATCAAGGAGGAACCTGTATGTTCTAGTTTGGGTTGGGTTGGGTTGGGAGCGTTGCTTCTTGTCGGGGTTGTTGACGGTGAAGCTTGAACGGGTGTTTGCTTGATACAGCACCCTGGTGCACAAGAGCTTGCAGTTGTATCAAGATTCTATAGTTCGGGTGTGGTGGCTCTATACCTATGGCGGGCGGGTGGTCCCGCAGTGCTTCTCTGTGTTGGAGCTGGTTGTGCCTTCTTTGTTTTGTGTTTGGGTTCTGGCTGACGTCTTTGTTGTGGGTTCGGTTGTTTGCGTGGGATGGATCTGTAAGGCTTAAGGGTGGTTGAGCTTCATTGGCGAAGAAAAGGGCTGTTTGGGGCCAGGATTGGTGACATCAGTTCCTATGCTGGATTCTACATCCATTAGAAGAAAGCAACAGAAAACAATAGAGGCAGAAGAAAGTGACATGCTCTTGGTATCAAATGCCTAAGACGAGTAAATCAAAATAAGCTAGTTTTGAAACAGCAAACGGGATATAGATATATATATGCGTTGAGCGACCAAAGTGACATCATCAAAATCAAGATATTGACAAGCAAATAGCAGAAAAGCAAGCAGCGAGCTCTTGGTAAAAAGCCACGACTCATCTAGGACGCCGTGTATTTTTAGCATACCATTGTTGTGGGTTGTCAGGGTCGCTGAAGTGAGTAAGTTCCTGTGGAACGATTGAAACGGACGACGTGCCGTTGGGTTAGGTTGATTATTCGTAGTTGTCCAGCGGAGTATAGGTCTGGGAATGTCGTGGCTTCGTAGAGATAGCGTGCATTATCCCTCGCGGGGAGAGCAATTATCATATTGTAGTCGGACAGCGCAGATCAAGACACCGTCGGGAAAGGTTCCGTGTCTTCGGCCCGCGATGAGGTGGAATGGGAACGAGTCAAGGGTGATTGATGCTCGGATTTACTCTGTTCCTCCTTGCGTCTCTTCTTTCGCATCTTCTTCATCGCTTCTTGCGTAAGCTCCTGTCGGAAGAGGCGCTCAACCACGTCCTTCTTGCGTGTCCTCCGATCTCCGATCATGATCAGGACCCCGCCGGAGATATTGCAACAGATCGAGCAGCAGAGGATGACAGTGGTCAACGCAAATGGGCGCACGTGGTAGCTGATGCCCCAAGTGCAGGCACCTAAAGCAATCTGGAACAGCGAGTGGCAGTCTAGCAGGACCACAATAGCAATGAGCATGCGCAGCGGAAAGGCATGGTGGGTGAAAGTTTCGTGCGGTTTGTAGAAAGTGTGCGAATTGGCAAGCTTGGTTTGGTGGTGAATCAGTTTGGCCTGCTGCGCCGGTCCGAGCACGCTGAACTCGTGTTCTTCCTCCTTTGGAGTGTCGCCGAATTCAACGTCCACGTCCTCCTCTCGGCGTGAAGGCAAATCGTTCTTGTTCTTGAGATCGGGAAGTCGGCGCTTTCGACGGATCTTCCATGTCAGGAAGGTATAACGTGCGATGAAGATCATGTGATATGTGTCGATGGCGCGAAACGGAGCCAAACCATCACCCATGACGGCAAACAGGGCCACAAGAACATTGTCGATGACGTTGATGAGATACGACTGCCGGCCTCCGACGTTGATCCAACCTTGGTGATCGGTCAGCATGTTTGGAGCGGAACGGGACGGGATACACACCGATCAAGAACAACACCCACGCCAGACCGAAAAGCGTAATCAACGTGGCGTATAATGTGACCAAGAATCCCAGCGCTGAGAGATTAATGCGTTAGTGACCCGCTCGTTCCGTAGCAATGGCCAGACATACGCTTAGAGACATATTTCCCGAAACCTTTCATGGCACGCTTGAACTTGGATCTCCGCGAATGCAACATGTGCCGGACATGGTCGTTCAGTTCTTCAATCTCCTCGGGAGACCACCCGGCAAGATCGCTACCTTCGGGCAGGACAGCAAATCGAGGCCCGCCGCCTTCGTCAACCACAGAAGTGAGGGTGTGCTCGATGGAAGGACGGACGGCGGGCTCCTGGCCCTTTTCGTAGCCCTCATCTTCGCCCTCATCACTGGTCGACGATTCAAGGTTCCTCAGAGGTGCAGGCGGTGGTGAAAGGGTATAGGTCTGATTACGGTTCAAGAAAGGCCCCAAATTAGGAACGAATAGTGAGTTCTGGACGTTGGTGAGGGTGGAAAGTGCCGACACTTCGGGATCTGCGGGATACTGATATCAGTGGGGCCTGCGGGGTTGAGTTGTGCGACAACGGCGACTTACCGATCACATCCAAGACATCCACAATATGAGACCGATATTCGTCGCCTGAGTCCGCCGTCTGAGCCGGTGCACTCCCACTCACGGTTGACGCGCGATTCCTGGTAAAGCGGTTTGCGGGCACCCCACCCGACCAGCGCATGAAACCGCGGCTCCCCCGCCGTGGGATTTGCAGTGATTCAGGATTCTGCTGTGGCAACGGTGGTAGAGAATCAGCGGCTACTCCGGGACTCTGTGGAGAGGCTTCTTCGTGAAGAGTGTGCATCTGATCTCCTGTCGCGAACCGAGTGAGAAGAACCGGGTTGGGGGCAGTCGACCATCGTCCCGGTCGGGGCTCGGAGCTGCTGCGGCGACGGTTTCCCTGCCAAGCATCATCATCATCTTCATCGTCCGCATCGGGCCTGGATGGGGTAAGATCGACTTGGGAGGCTAAAGGTCGATTGGGGGTCTGTGCATTGCGTTGAGATTGTACACCAGAGCTGTCAAAGGAGGGGAGGCGCTGGAGTCTAATCGAGGGCCGTCGAGAGCGCAGCGAAGGCGCCCGTGGACGTGCCGGGTATGACGTCGGTCGGAGGTAGTCGGGTTCAGGAGAATTAGAGGCACCAGAGACAGGCTCAATAGAATCCATTGCAGGCCAACAGAGACCTGGTGGGATGAGGTCTAAAAGACAGTAACTAAAGAAGATTCACTAGGCATGAAAGGGGATGGGATGGGGATGTTCTGATGAGGGGAGGCGAAAAAGAGAGAATAAGGAAGAGGAAAAGCAGGCCGGGAAGACGACCGAAAGACCTTCACCAGGTTTTGGAAGGGACCAAAGCTTAATTTATCCATTATTATTGGACCCGGCCCAGACCGCGGGTGGTGGCACAAACCAATTTCTACGCTGTTCGTTGTTCGTATACAATTTATTCCCAAGCTGCAAGATGCAAGATGCAAGATGCAAGTCAGATCATTCATTCATTCATTCATTCATTCATTTATTCATTCATTCAACCGTTCAACCGTTCAACCGTTCAACCGTTCAACCATTCAACCATTCAGTCTTCCAACTTCTGCATGTTTCCCTGTGAATGTTTTGCAGCCATGTGTTAATAACCCCCTCTTCCTCCTAACCATCGTGATGGCATCTCAATCTGTATCCTTGGGTCTGTCTCGATTTCTCCCCTTCCTGCGTAAGCACTAACTTAGCAATTAAAGTCGCAAAACATCGCGGTGGCCATTCTTCCCCAGCCATATACATTCAGCCATAGTTGTCTCTAATTCGACTTCGGATTCTGCTTCAGTTCTGCTTTAACCAGCGTCACTAATATGGCAGGAAAGATCAAGAAAACTATCTCCAAGACAGCGCAGGCTCCTCTAAGTCCAACTGACCGCGTTGAAGACACCTATTCGCCGTACACTGACCAGTTCTTTGCCGACATGGCCACCAAGATTGCAGTTACATTTCCTTACGAGGAATTCGCAGCTTGTCATGGTTGCAGCCTGAGCCATCTCGCGGGGGCGATGAGTGCCCTAGTCCTCGCGCCTCTCTCGGATTCCACCTTCACACAGCATAGAGATCGCAATATGAGCATTGCACAATACGGGCAGCACATGATAGCTATGTGAAGCGCTCATTTTGAGCAAGTCTTGCTGACTACCTCTGGGAAAGCAAAGAAGCGGTCACGATTGAGGCCATCTGCTAGCACTGTCCCCTCTCCGCCTGGTTCCCCGCCCTTGTCATCCGATGTACCTTTGCAATCTGCCAAGGATGTCGCGGAGGGAAAGCCTACGAGCATCAGCGAAGACTCTGAAAGCCTACCTCATGACACGTCTGCTATCAAGTCGAGCTCGCCAGCAGGCCAGAAGGCTACCACCACAGGCGTGGGGCGTCAATACGATAAGTCAAGCGACATGAGCGAAGACACTCATGCAACCGTCCCAACCATGCCAACCTCATCCAAAGATGATGGCATACGTAGCTCGAAGCGTCGAAAGATCGACCCTTCCTCTGAGAAGTACCCGTCTCAGCAGGGGCCGGAGGACTTCATGAGCGCTGTTGCTGTTGAGGCTGGCAGCACATCAACGACATCGCTTCCAGGTCCCGTCGTTCGTCCATACGGAGATAGGGACGGGAACAGCAGTACATTGCCTGTGGCCGTTGAGGAGGGACAGAAAAATCGCTCACCTGGGACTAAGCGTACACCCAGTGAGCAACGACGCGAGACAACCAGCAAAAAGCATGCCACACGCAATGCTCGCAGAAGACTTTCACCATTTGCAGAAGATGCAATAGACACGGCTGTCTTCAGCGAGCAGGGTCTGCAAGAGCGAATGAATGGTTCAAAAGTTGGTCCAGCAAATACGTCGTGACACAACTACATATCTGCTGAGTCTGTCAATACAGCCCCATCAGGCGAATTGGCGGCTCCCCCAATAGTCTAAAACTGTGCTTGGCTATTGGTTGATTGCAGCGAGGATCCCCCGGGCTGGTCCCGAGAGCTTAATGGTATTTTAGTCTAGTTAATTCGTGCATAAAGCTCCTGGAATGCATCCATCAATGCGAAGCTGTCTCAAGTGACAGTCATACTAAGTAATTGGCGAGATCGGAGGAGGAGGGGTACTGAGGGGTAATGCGCAATGCGAGGAAGGTTCGCGATAGAGCGAGACTCCACCACGGGAAAGCAGGGCAGCCGGAAAGTCACAGTGGGACAGGTGAGGTAGTGGAGCGATCGAGCTGAGAGGGGGGGGGACGCTTCTGACTAATGGAAAGAATCATTGCAGAGGTGGGAGGGGGAAGGAAGGAGTCAGATATTGCAATGAAAGTCTCAGTTATTCACCTGTCGATATAGAAGAATAACACGTAGGATATAGGAGGATAGGAGGCTAGGAGGAGAGTAGGAGAGGAGGAGAGCTTCCTTGATCAGAGGGAAGGAGGATTGTTCCTGCCTGAATGTTGATGATGAGAAAGTGAGTCAAGCAAGAGGGTACGGTAATAGGTAGCAGTGATGTCAGACCGTCCACCGCCTAGACCGCCCGACCGGAAAGTCCACGTCGGGCGTCTATTTCGGGTTTAGTCTCTTAGTCCCTTCAGGCATCAAAGACATTTTCAGGCATATTCAGGCAGCTTATTACCCCCTTGGGTTTAGTTCCGCCACCTCCCTCGTCGCCTGCCCTTTTCTCTCACCTTCTCCTTGTCTCGCC